TTTGTTTTATTTTGTTTCAATTGCTACCATGATATATTTTGGGGAAAGTGAAAACGGAAAAATCTCGGTATTTATGCCTCATTAACATTTATGACCTATTACCTTTATGCCCCAGTCCTAGATTCTGTGGCTGTCCAGGTAGTCACCTAAAAATCCTTATTCACTGGTTTTGTATATCATTTACTGAGCAATTATTTTAGTTAAATATCAAGTCATAGGTTCAATGGTTTCTAAAGTTTGGAAAAAGAAGGGTTTCTTTAAAAAAAGAAAAAAGAAACCAAGATTTTATTTAACTTCTCAGAAAACTTTAAAGTTCTACAGTGCTTTCAAATCTTTTCCTAGAATTTTCCCCTTCTGTTACCTTTTATACATCAGAGAGGTTTTTTTTATTTTTCTGAGAGCTCTGTGGATCATATAAAATGGTTTAAATCTTTAAGAAAATTAACTAGGAATATTTCATTCACCCGGTTCTTATACAGTCTCATGCCTAAAAAAGACTTCTTAGTTTAAATAAATATAAATGATTCTTGAAACTATGCACTCAATCCTCTCCCTATTCTTCAACTCAGAAAGATTTATGCCTACTAATTATTCTGGAATGTTAAACTGTGAACTTTAAACTAAGTTTTACAAGAAAAAAGTAAAATGTTAAAAACTTTACCTACACGGGAAAACAAATAAATTGATATTTAATCAATTCTGCAATGACAAGCACCTGAAAATATGCAGTACAATAAGGACAAAAGCATTTGAAAGTGAAATGGATTTAATTTTCATATTTTCAAATGTTAATTAGCAAGGCTGCATTCTGAAGTACATAAAAAACAAATCCTTGACCTGGATTCTAAGGCTTCAAGTTTCTATAACCTTATTTTGCAATTTTTTAAATCTTATCCCCACCCCTCCCCAGCAAGTCCCAGAGTTTACCCACAACAGCAGTAGCCGTTGGGTTGCTAAGGACTTGCTAGCACAGCCCTCCTGTGTGGCACAGGGCTGCACGGCTTGGCCCCAGCCACCTGGCATCCAGCACTGCCTCTGCCCCATCATGCCAGCCCAACCCAGTGCAGTGCAGTGCCATGCCATGCACCTTCGGATAGCTCCAGACCACTCAGGCTGTCACTCGGGACCCTGTGCCACTCATGGGGACTGTGTGTCACACCGAGTCAAGTCCTGCCTGCACAGAACTGGCCCAGCCCAACAGCGCGCGGGGCCCGTGCAAGCAGGACCCAACCTGGTGCAACATGCAGTCTCCACAAGTGATGCAGGGCCCTGGGTGACAGCCCAAGAAGCCTGGAGCTGCCCAAAGGTGCATGGTGCCATGCCCAGCCGAGCTGGGCCCATGCAATGTGATATAGGCAGCGCTGTGTGTCTGGAAGCCAGGACTGAGCCGCGCTGCCCTGAGCTACCCCTCACCATGTGGGGGGCCTGTTTCAGGAGGGCCCCAAGCCCTGATGGCCCCTGCTGCTGCAGGGAGGGGGCTATGGACCATGTGGAGGGCAGGCAAGTCACCCATCTCTCCCAAGCAGCTTCTCCCTGCCACAATCCTCCTCTCCCCCAGTCTCCCACACCCATACAGCCCTGGTTCCCATTCTCCCCACCCACAGTTTCTACTTACCTGGGGATGGAGCCCTGCTCTGGTTTCCTGCAGCTGACACTGCTCCTTGCAGGGCATAAAGGTGCTTTGGCTGGCTACTAGAGCATGTCTTTGGAGGACCTGAGCCTCTGGTTGCCCTGCCCCACTTTTTTTCTGTGGGACTTTTTTTTGATACCTGGATATTCAGGTATCACATTTTGAGCCCTCACTGCAAATACGCAGTTAGGGGAAAGATTTTTTGTTTCCAGTGTGCCTCTTGTCATGTCTAAAATGGCTTTGAGATGTGGCAAGAGGCACGTTCAGGCTCGTCTGGATGTGCCCATCAATAACAGATGAAAAACAACAAAGATTGGCAGACATTTGATTATACAAAAAAGGCTTATGCAATAAAGGAACACTTTTGTGTTTAGTATATTTTTCTTTTTTTTTCTTTTTCTTTCTTTCTTTTTTTTTTTAGTGAAGATCTGTCTGGATTAGACATAGAGCTGCACTGAATTATTTCCTATAACTTTTGTAATAAATTCAATCTAGACCAGAAGAGCTCATTATTTCTGTAAAATAAATTATCTTGATTGTGTTCTTAATTTTATCAGACCATACAGGATTAAATTGCTACAGATATGTTTTTGGATTTTAGCAGGTTACCTTTTTTTGCCTCATTGATTCTGACTCATTTCTAATAATATTAATGCAGTATAACATTTGAGACTTGTAATACGTGACATATAAATTATTGTACATAAGATCTATATGTGTACGTACAAGTTCTACAAATCCATTTTCAAGTATATTCACTGATCCACAAAAGCAAGATGAAGAAAAAAGGCAAAAGTAAAACTTCTCTTAGAAATATATTGAATAATATAGCCAACTATAAAACTTCTCTAAACCCAAAATAGGTGCAAATAGAATTATATGCCCCCAGCTAAAGAAATGGTGGTGCCTTAACCACACAAAGACCCAATGGTATATTAGACTCAGGCTGGACTCTGACTTCACTTGAACCTAAATGAATAATTACCCCATCAGATGATATGCTACCTTGATTCACAGACCATATGCTGACTAACCATGGACACTATACCATGTTTGGTCAGAATGTTACAGAATGAGGCATACCTCATTTTATAGAAGATATTTGGGTAAAACAGATTAAAAACTACTTTCACCATAAAAATATACAGGAAAGAAGAACACAATTGCTGGTAAAAGAACATTTTTTCACAGAACAACTACTTTCTTTCTGACTTTCATAGTTTCATAGGTGGTTGGGTCAGAAGGGACTTACGTAGATCATCAAGTTTGACCCCCTGCCATGCGCAGGAAAGAATGCTGGGGTCAAACGACCCTGGCTAGGTTATTATCCAGCCTGCTTTTGAAGACCCCCAGGGTAGGAGTGAACTCCATTTCCCTTGGAAGTTGGTTCCAGATCCTAGCCACCCTGACTGAAGTAGTGCCTCCTGATATATAGCCTGAATCTACTCTCAGTCAACTTATAGCCGTTATTTCTTGTTACTTCCAGTACGGCGCGGGGGAACAGGGACTCTCCCATAGCCTGCTGGTCCCCCTTGGCCAGTTTGTAGATGGCCACAAGATCCCCCTTCAGCCTTCTCTTGTGGAGGCTGAACAGGTTCAGGTCCCATAGCAATCCCTCGTAGGGCCTGCCTTTCTGCCCCCTGATCATGCGAGTGGCCCTCCTCTGGACCGTCTCGATGCTGTCCACATTCCTCCTGAAGTTCGGTACTCCAACTGCAGCCTGACCAGTGTCACACAAAGGAGGAGGATCACCTCCTTGGACCTGCTCATGATGCATCTGTGGATGCATGACAAGGTGCGGCTAGCCTTCCTGACCACGTCCCCACATTGGCAGTCCATGTTCATTTTGGAATCAATAATGATTCAAAGATCCTTTTCTGCCTCTGCACTGATGAGAAGGGAGTTCCCCAACCTGTAGGTATGCTACTGGTTCTTCCTCCCCAGGTCCAATACCTTGCACTTGTCTGTATTGAGTCCCAGCTGGTTCTCATCTGTCCACCCCTGTAACCTGTCCAGATCTAGTTGTAGCCTGTCCCTCTCCTCCAGCGTGTCCACTTCTACCCACATCTTAGTGTCATCCGTGAATTTGAACAAGGTGATTTTCACCCCCTTGTCCTAATTGCTGATGAAGATGTTGAACAGTACAGGCCCAAGGACCGAGCCCTGGGGGACCCCACTGCCCACATCCCTCTAGGCTGAAAAAGACCCATCCACCACCACTCTCTGGGTGTGGCCCTCCAGCCAATTTGCGACCCATCTGACTGTGTAGGCATTGATGCCACAGACGCCTAATTTCTTAATGACTTTTTTTTCTGTGCACAATGGAAACATACATAACATCTTCAAAAGATGGATCAGGTAACAAAATGTAATAACTTGATTGGACACTAAAAACAATAGACTAAGGCTTTAGGTTCATTATAATCTCTGCCACCCTCTTAGAAGTCCACAAGTAATGGGGGCATCTATATGTTACCCTGTGGCAACATAGCGACATGCTACGTCACTCTACGGCATGCTATGGTAAGTAGTGATCGTGTGTCTACATGCGATTGCCAGCTACATCACCATAGTGGTGCGCTCCCTAGGTATAGCATGCTACTATGGTGACAGTAGCAAAATGTAACCATGTGCTGTGCGTATGGTGCAGTAATCACCTGTACTGTGCCGTGCTTTAGTACTTCCTTTTGGAAATACTAAAGCACAGTGCCATAGCAATGTCACTGTATGGCAACATGTAGACACACCCAAGAATGCATACTTTTTGAATGGTCTTGTTCTTCTACGTGGAGAAGGCAGGGCCAGATGGCACCTCTCTCTTCTGCATAATTAGGATACCATTCCATTGCATTTCCCTTATTTTAGAACTATTTTTGATCACTTCTCTTTCCTCTCAGTTCACTGAAATTCTCTGTTTCTTAAATTATTGCTGTCATTGACATGGACTTATTTTTTTCCTATCATCTAGCTTAGCCTGCATCTGCTACTGTCTCAGATCTGAAAAAGACATTTTGTAACTGAAAACTTGTCCAATATCTCTCCAAACTATGCAACTGGTCCAGTGCAAAGTGCCACAAAAAACCCTGGCCTCCTGTACATTTTCTGGACCATAACAGATAGAACAATACCCCAAGCCTATGAATCATTTAAATCTGTTCACCACCCATGAGATTATGATGTCGTTTCTCCAGTTTAAAGCCATCATGATGGCTTGAAAGGAACTACTTCTTAAGTAAGGTGCTATTCAATAAGAGTAGCAATGAGAGGAATCGTAACAGCATTTGGTCTCCAAATGCTGACAAGATTCCCTGGAAATTATAAGTAATGTGTCTCAAGATGTTAACATTTAAGCATGCTGAAACTGCCTTACCATGGTGTAGTTGTGAGCCACCTTCATGAGCTCTGTGCATCCCTGTGCATCTGCAAATGCTCGTATTCCCAAACAGTTGGAGGGGTGCAATAGCTTCATTAGAAAGTGGCAGCAAACTTCTACTACTTGTGGAAGTTGCAAGAGGCAGGCAGCTGCCAGAAGGTTTTCGATGGTATCCTCCTTCAGTTCCAAGCAACCTGAAAAGGGAGATTAAAGTACACATGCATTCTTGCTTCCTGAATATATGCTTACATAAGAATGCAAGATTTCAGTACGGTTTTACCAAATAAGCCAGTAAGAAATTCATATGTGGGGTTCAGATGCAACTTTAACACTAAT